GACACTTGGGTATTATTCTGTTGGGGTCCGATACTCGGGTAGTTGTTTTAGTTGTTTGTGTTGTTGGTTTTTAGTCTAGTTGCGAGTGTTTTTTATTCTAGCGTTGCTAGCCGGGGATTCTAGGCGGTCTTCTGACCTGTCCTCCCACTTTTTCAGCTGTTGGTTGCTGTGTATTCAGCCGTTGGCTGCTGTATATTCGCACGTTTGTGCATTTTGATTTATAATATTATCTATCGTTTTGGAAAAAAAAATAATGGTGCTAACTTTATTTGCATCTTTACCAATTACATGACATTTAATTGTACATATGCAAAGACGCCAGTTACCAAAAAAGAAGTGCGACGCCTCATTAAATTGCAAAGATTAATTGGATTTCAGAATTACATTATTTAAAAAAATATATATATACATGGTAAGTTTATATATCCTACAAAAATTAGGATGTTGTTTCAATAAAATATAAAAATATATGAATTTGAATTTCAAACGACTTTATCTTCTAACTAAATACAAATTACACAATCATGATGTTCGAATGAGTAGTATATTTTGCGTTTATAGTTAATATATATTCAATATACCCTGATGTGTTTTTTTATTTACATAACATTTTTATCTAACCACAATTGCGATGTTTGAATTTTGGTTCAGATAGAACCTGTCGTATACATAAGATAAAATGATCATAATCACTATTTTAATAAACTATTTTAGTATATGTAGAGTATAAGATAAAAATACAAAGGTCAGTTGCTTGGAAAAAATGCCAATTAATTGAATAAAAATAGGTTTGGACAAAGCATAAAAATAATAATTGTAATGGAAAGCTATACGTCTTAACATAACCAGAATAAAATATGGATTATATACATATCTTAAACTACTCATAACAACAGAGATGTGTGGAAAACAAACAACACAACTTTACGACATCTCCACGAGCACGGACCGACGAAACATATACTGAAAATATACTGCCTATACACGCAACATATACTGTCGACATCTCCATAAGCCCGAACTTCTGGACTCACCTTCGTCATCTCCATCTTGACCTCCCCGCTGGGAAGGAGGAGAGGAGGGATGCGCAGCCGCCGGAGTCCATCGTTGTCTCTTAAACAATCAATCGCATGGATCGAAAAAGAAGTCACCACATTTTCGACTCAAGTGATTAAATTCAAAATAAAATGCAAGAAATAAAAACATCCATAACACGGTGGTATAACTGCGCTTTTCGGCGATTGTCTACCCGACGAACACGGCGACGGATACAACACTATTCTGTCGCCGGAGCTGGAGAAAATCGAGGACGCATTTGTCGAATAATGGCGAATCAGGCCAGGGCGACCCGACTTCAGAGCGCGATCCGAAAAACCTCGACCTGACTTCAGAACTTGATCAATCGAAAAAATAAAGAAAGAAGAGAAGTTCAGTTGTAGAGGAAGAGAAAAAATTAAGAGTAAAATTGTAGAAGAAGAAAAAGAGAGAGAGAGAGAGAGAGAGAGAGAGAGAGAGAGAGAAAGAGAGATTTGAAGGCATTCTCAAAGATCTAAGGCGCTCAAGTTGAAGACCAACATCTAATCCAGAATAAATCCTCCTAGCCTCAAAAGTACGTTCAATGAAGCAAAAGTCCAAGAAAAAGAAGAAAAAAAAGTGACAGTTCTTCTCCTATAAGTAAAGAGGCGACAACCACTCATCTCACATTAGTCCAAGAATATCAACGATGTCCAAACGATATTAAAACTACGTTCGTTAAGAAGTTCAAGAAATATAACATTTAATCCGGAAAAAAACTTTCAAGCCCCCCGAGTCAGTGTTATTCAAGTACAAATCCATATTCGAAAATCCAAATCCAAATTCAAGAAGAGAAGAATCAGAGGGTTCTATATAAAGATTGTACATGCATATCGTTTGATCGAAATATAATCAAGTTGTACACAAGTTTTATGTTTTTTATATAATCTTTTGTTACAAATTTGGCACGCCCAGTGGGACACGAAATAAAATTCTTTGTTACAACGTTGGCACGCCTAGTGGGACCACCTCTGCCTCTCATCTCTTCTCTTCAAATCAATTTCATTTTTTTTTAAGATGCATTGAGACTGCTTTAAATACAATGTGAAAGGGGGCAATTAAGGATGACGTCTCCTCACTCCATGAAGCCGCAGAAAGTCGTCGACTTCATCAAATTCATGCAAACAGAGGCAAATAAAAGTGACTCTACATTCCTTTTTAATGCAAATTCAATGAGGGCAATTTAAATGAATAGCTCCACCAAATTATAATTCTTCTTGATATGAGCCTAAGCTATCTACAAAGCTCTTAGATATAAGTAAAAACTATCAAACCCCATATCTACAATGCTTCTTGATATGAGCCTAAATTATTTATAAAACTCATTGATATGAGCCAAAACTATTCAAAACTCCAGTTCAAATGCTTGACTGCTCTTTGACATGAGCCTAAATTATCTACAAATTCAAATACTATTTGATAGGAGTCTAAACTATCTATATAGCTCATTGACACGAGCATAAAATGTCTACAAACTTAGAGGCTCCTTGACATGAACACAAAATGTTTAGAAGGCTCCTTGACACGAGCATAATATGCTTACAACTTTGAAGGCTCCTTGACACGAGCATAAAATATCTAAAAATTCAAGATCTCTTTTGATAAGAGAATAAACTATATATAAATTCAAAATCTCCTTGTCACGAGCATAAATTGTCTACAAATTTGAAGGCTCCTTGAAACGAGAATAAAATATCTAAAAAATCAAGATCGCTTTGACACAAGAATAAAGGTCTACAAGTCAAATATGAAGGTCCTTGACAAGAACATAAAATGTCAACAAATTTGAAGCATCCGTGATATGAGCATAAAATGTCTACAAATTTGAAACTCATTGACACGAGTATAAAAATATCTATAAATCAAATCAAGATCTCGTTGATACGAGTATAAACAATCTGTCAAATCAAATTAAGAATTCCTGGATACGAGTATAAATCTATCTACAAATCAAGTCAAATGAAGAAATCTTTGATACGAGTGTGAAACTATCTACAAACTCAAGTTGAAGAAGTCATAATTAAGAGTTTAAAATATTTTCATGATCTAATCGAATCTAAAATTTTGAGACTCATTCACTATCAAGACATTTTGTTCGTGAACAAGTCTCAAGGGGTCATTTGTAGACATTGTTGGTACGACCATGCAATTCACCAAAGACCGGTCATGGGCTTGGCTCAGCCGCAGCTCGACATGTCGCTCGCAGTGCGCCCAAGGTAGGAAGGAGCTCAGCAGCTCAGTGCGCGGTCGCGGTGTGAAGGAGCTCGGTTGCTCGGTGCGACTGACCGCAATGTGTAAGAGACGGCGGAGCCGGAGGAAGACGACCTCGGTGGAAGGTTTTGCTTAGGAGCCCAGGGTATGCCGGTATTTCGTAATCAAGTCATGAGGAGTTTTGCAAAGGATTCTAAAGATCCGAAAATATTTTCACCTAGTTGAGAGGTATACCAGAAAGACTTCTTGTCCAACAAGAAGTCTTCAACCTATGCGTAACCTCAACTATGAAAGGGGCACATATTCATTATTTTTACAAAACACACATACACGCGTGAATATGTTCCCTCGACATATACTTTTTGAATCTTGAACTGACTTGAGCGTCGAAGTATTTTCCGTCAGGACCCCTCCCGGCGTTTTGCATGTCATAGGAGGCATCAAGGCGGTAAAAGCAGCGAGTCTCGGTTCAACCCGGCCGAGAGGTACAATTGCGCAACAATCGTAATTTTAATATTTTATTAATTAGTTTCTTTATTTATTTTTGGACATAAATCCATGATAAATAAAATATTTAATTAATAAAGTAAATATTTTTTGCCCACCAAATCATATCTTAAGATAAGAAGAAAAATCTTAGAATAATGAAATAAATTATATCAGATCATGAAGGACCAATGAAATAGATGTCTTCTTCTCCAAGACCCTCTCTTCTACCTATATAAATATGACTCTCCTCAAAGCCACCAAGCACACCTCATAAATCACTCAATTCAAGAGTTCTCAATAATTCTCTTGAATATCCAAGTGTGTTCTTGAATATCTAAGATATTAAAGTTGAAGATCGACGTTTAAGTCCAAGTTCCTCCAAGAAGGAACAAAGAAGAAATTGACGTTCAACTCCAAGTCTCTCTCCAAGAAAGATCAAATCAAGTCCTAACATTTAACACATAAACAAGTCATTCGACCCTCAAAGTCAATGTTATGGAAATTCAAGTTCAAAAGATCCAAAGTGTCAAATTTGTTTGAAGAACCAATCGAAAATTTGTGCCTTCGAGAATTTGAATTGTAAAGTGAAGCAGCACAAAATCCCAAGATCAATGATTTTGAATCCGGTCTAAAACATGAAATAATACGTGTAAAGCTCCATATGTAATGTTCTTTTTTTTTTCTTAAAACACCGTCCAGTTTTGAATTCTCATTCAAACTTACAATATCACTTAGCAATTAACACTATTTTGCTTAATTAAGCATCATTAATCACTAAGCCCCTCAATTGGGGCAGCACGGGCAAACAAACAGCTGCCCGAATTTATGCCCGTAGCAGTTTCCATACAAAGCTCAAGTGGGCAAAAAATTGACGAGAAAAGAAAAATGCTACATGTACATAATAAATATACATAAAGATGTACATAACACTCACATGAAGTGGACACCACTTGATTTTTTAATTTTAGTAGGTCCCACTCAACGTGATCATTATGTACAACATTATGTACCTATAGTATTACTCGGGAGAAAAAGCTACTCTTTGGTATAAAAATCAAAACCTCATAGCCCCAAAACCGCCAAAAATATTCCACATTTATACTGTTT